AAAAAAAAAAAAAAAAAAGTGTAAGGAGAAAAGACTGGAAAGGAATGTGTCAAAATGTAACCAGTGACTGTTTCAAAGTGATAGGAATTTTGCCAGTTTCCATATTTTCCAGTTGTTCTAAAAGTTGGAAGTGCTACATTGTAATAGGAAAAATAAGCTACTTTGTAAAGGACAAAATCAAAGTCTTCTCCCCCATGCAGCCTTCCCTGATGGCCCAGGTGGTTAAACACTTCCTCTTTGTTGCCAAGGCTGACTAGTTATGGCCCTATTGTAATATGTCCGTTTAACACACCAGACTTGCCCCCTGTGGCAGTGCTTTGTCCCATTCATTTTATTTCCTTAGCTCCTAGCTCTCAGGCAGTACTGTCAAACTGTAAGGGTTTACTGAATGGAATAAATATTTGGGAAAATGCAAGATGCAAAGATAAATGAGCAGTGTCCAGGGACAATATAGGCTTAAGTAAGGGACACAGAATCTGAGAAGAGCGTGACCCTAAGGATGGGTGGACGGTGAGGTCAAGAAGAAGAGGGGACATTGAGTTAGGCCTTGCATTCATGCATTGATGAATGACAGGAAGGGTTTGGTATGAATAAAGGAATGGAGGTTGGGATGTGTAAGAAGTTTTTTTTTTTTTGAGTTGGAGTCTCACTCTGTCGCCCAGACTGGAGTGCAGTGGCCGCTCCCGGCCACCGCAGCCTCGACCTGCTGGGCTCCGGCGATCCTTCCGCCTCAGCCTTCCAAGTAGCCGGAATTACAGGCATGCGCTACCACGCCCGGCAGATTTTTTGATTTATTGTAGAGATGAGGTCTCGCTGCCCAGGCGGGGCTCAAACCCGCGGGCTCAGGCAATCCACTCACCTCAGCCTCCCAAAGGCGCGGGATTACAGGCTGAGCCACCGAGCCCGGCTTAAGTTTTTTTGTTTTTTTTTTTACTTTTTGTGGGGGGGTTGGAGTCTCACTCTGATACCCAGTCTGTAGTGCAGTGGCACACTCACAGCTACCGCAGCCTGCTGGGCTCAGGCGATCCTTCCACCTCAGTCTTCCAAGTAGCTGAAATTACAGGCATGCGCCACCATGCCCGGTTAATTTTTTAATTTATTGTAGAGATGAGGTCTTGCCAAGTTGCCCAGGCTGGTCTCGAACGCATGGGCTCAGGCAGTCCTCTCACCTCGGCCTCCCAAACTGCTGGGATTATAGGCG